ACAGTCACTCCTGGCATAGGGCCCCGCTGGGACCCATGCCATGTTGGGTTTAGTGTCTAGACCTATGTTTTTTCCCCTCTTTGTTGGTCCTCCTTAATGATAAAATGAGAGGCTGTCTTACTGCCAAATCAAAGTCACATTGCGACTGACGGTCAGTCAGTCAGTAAGTCTTGGTGTCGAGCCCCATCTGGGGCTCATGACCAGATATTTATTAATGTTTGGCATTTACGGTCTTGTTTTTGTTCGACTCGCAGGGTCACGGGAGGACGGGTCTGCCTTTTGTATATGCTGCTGGCCCTTGGCACTGCAGTCTTTCTCGGGTCCGAGTCTCTTGGGAGTCGCGATCGTNGCGTTGGAGGTATTCGACCCCGCCTCCACACGGGGAATGACCAAGGTCAAAGTCACATTGAGACTGATGGTCAGTCAGTCAGTAAGTCTTGGTGTCGAGCCCCATGTNTCGTATTTTACTGTCTCAGATCTGAGACTTCCCTTTTCGTCGCCTCCTCGACTCGCAGGGTCACGGTGGAGGTATTCGACCCCACCTCCACATGGGTGTCGGGGAATGACCAAATCCAAGTCATATTGCGACTGACGGTCAGTCAGTTAGTAAGTCTTGGTGTCGAGCCCCGTTTGGGGCTCATGACCAGATATTTATTACTGTTGAACGTTACGGTTTTGTTCTTTTGGGGCGCCCTCTCTGGCGAGAGGACGGGTCTGTCTTTTTTACATGCTACTGGGTCTTGCCAGCGTAGTCTTTCTCGGGTCTGAGTCTCTTGAGACTCGAGAACATATTTTACTGTCTCAGATTTGAGACTGGGGGATGACCACGTGGAATTCCGCGTTATATAACCTTGGGGCGGACCCCGTGGAAGACACCGTCTCTGAAAAATTCATATGGTTGTTTACTATTCCGTTGCATAGAGATGGACGGCTTATTGTTCCCCCATACGTTTCTGCGGAAACGTGTTTACCAAGCCGTTTCCTAGCAATGGATATATGTGGATTACATAGAAAATACATCTGTTGCCAAGAATTCGTGTTTAGTGGTTCGTTACCTAGTAATGGATGTTTTGTTGAGAACGTAACTAAGTGACTGTGTTTACCGAGCCCTTGTCCAGCAGTAATATGCGTCACAGCATTACATTTGTCCGGTACGTTGATAGCCACCTACAAGATTGCGAAGTCGGGATAAGGACCAGTGGAGGGCTCTTGTGAACACGGTAATGAACCTTCAGGTTCCATAAAATTCTGGGAAATTCTTGAGTAGCTGCAGATTTGGCGGCTCCTCAAGAAGGTCTCAGCTCTGTAAGTAAATAAGTAAGTAAATGTCCTAACAAGAATGCCGAGGAGTATCCAATGTCATGTAGTTAGCCAGGCAGTTTGTGTATCGCAACAATGTATTTGACACGAAATATGTTTCCAAAGTCGCATTCTTGTAGCATTATTATTCGGTGTCAAACTTGCGAGGCAAATAACAGATTCACAATCGAAAAATATCTACGAGAGCCACATGCAACAATATGGAAGAGAACCCTCTGTTTATTTCATAAAGCGCGAAGTTGGCGATTGTGTTGTCGCCTTGGTATTTGGAATCCTCTGCCGAATGACTGTAGATTGTGATGTTAGAATAATAAATAGCAGATGTTCCGAGAAAATGGGGATTCAAAATGAAAACACAATATTGTCATGCTTACGAGTGACATAGATGGAGTTTTTGATTGGTAATCGGATTTACTGGACACTCATACAACTCGTGACTGCACTTCATAGGTCACTATCACACACAGATTAGTGTTCTCAGTCACGTTGCTTGGTAGCGGCTTCCAAAAGTGGACGTTCTTGCAGGGTGGCGACCATCTGACGCCAACCTCATGCTCTGACCGCTGGCTTCAACCGGTATTTTCTTCAGCTCGTAGCTCCCGTGCTGTACTGACTGACTTCCAGCTCCCCCAGTGTGGACGTAATGAACGCAAGGCGGTCGGCCGTATAAGGCAGGCAGCGTGGCTGCTGCTTCAGTGTCAATGCCACTCAATTACAGTTAACCTCCGATTAAACAATTCCAGCTCTCTCTCTCTCTTTCTTTCTTTCTCAGAAGTTAATACTGTATGGGTCTTGTCACCGCGTGAGCCATGCAGGAAGAAGTAACATTGTTAGCACTCGGCGAGTCTACCTCAGTGACACTTTATCTTGCCTGCAGTGTCTGCCGGCGGATATCTGTATCGTGTCATTATGCCACATACTCGTTCTATTTTTCCCCACAACCCGAATTTAACGGTGTTCATTTTATTTCGAAAATAATCTGGTTATAAGTACTTCTGTCTTCTGGGATATAAAGTCATGTGATCCGTTGTAAAGTCAACCGACATTTCGGAGACGTGTTGCTCCGAAACTTGAGCCGACTGCAAGCTACACGGCGTTATATCCCAGTGGAGAAAACACTTCATAACCACCGCTGTGAGAATCTCAAATCCTACAAACTGGTTAGATTCCCAGACACTTGGGTTTATGTTGATAATACGTATTATACAGGTGGCGCTTTCTCGCTGAGGGAGTTGCCTGTTCGGAAGATAATAAAGTAAAGCTATCACTGTAACAGCCCATGAAGGCCCGTAGGGTTGTGAGATGTTGAGGGTCCCACATTATCTAGACAATCGGCTCAAAGATGGCGGTAAGGTTGTCAGCCTTACGCGCCGGCCGAGCTTTACGCCCCAGGAAAATTATTTATTTAATTCCTGGTACTTATTTGCATTAGAGGCTGAGAGAACCCCAGGGCCATAGTGCGGCTGGAAGGATTAGGTCAATTGAAAAAATCCAATGACCTCATCGAGTTTCTTATATGTACACTAGATAAACTGTTAGGATACTTATTGGTCCGCTATGGCCCGAAGATTGATCTTCATTGTCCTTCAAGACTGACACTTTCGCTTGTGTGGTATTGCCAAGCTTTGTTAGGTATTCAGTAGTCTTCCATTCTTTGTAGATGTAGCAACGATTTTTGTCTGGATTTTGTGTTTTTGTATTGAAATTGAAAACATGGAAGTCTTTCCTGATCTCTGCATATTGCTACCCCCCAAAGACATATCATCCCTGCTATCTGCGTCCTTGTCTTGTTCTTTGCTTACAAGCCATGTTGTGTTGGTACCGTCATTTTGATCATGGCTGTCCCATGTTTTCAAGTCAGTATCTTATTTTGTCCGGAGTATTAATTTACAGCTTACGATTGTCAAAAATTGTACTTCTAAATGTTGGCCATTCATTAACACTTTCTGTGTAAAGCATCTTTTAGGATACGTCATACTTCGTGTAGGCAACCTTTCGGAATAAAAGTCCCGTGTGCTTAACAGTAAATGTGGTATGGCGATTTGGGTTCCCATAATTTTTTTATTGCTAGTGGGGTGTGACTAAGTCCCTTGTACTGCGGCCACTTCTGGCCTATTGTACCAGCCCCAGATGATAGGTGAGGGTGATTGTGGAGCAATTGGTGGAATGAAGATTGGCAGGGGAAACCGAAGTACTCGGACAAAACCTGCCCCAGCGCCACTTTGTCCACCACAAATCCCACTTGACCAGACCCTGGGATCGAACCCGGGCCGCCGCGGTGGGAAGCCAGCGACTAACCGCTTGAGCTATGGCGCGGCCTTTGGGTTCCCGTCATAGCTTGAGGATAGATGGCGGGACGATCTACGTTGCTATCTGATGATAATACAGCGTCACAAATATGTTAGACACAGTTTATCTCAAAGCGTACCGGCTTCCTTCCATAAATGCCATAACTGGAACTGTTTTGATAACAGATTAATAGATTATAGCCCTGAAAGGATACCGTGGACACTGAAATTGATTCTCAGTTTCATTCCAAATGCTTCATCGTCAGCAAATGATGATATACACACCCAGTGTTGGGTCATACGTATGCCCCGTCCTTCAGATTCTCCATGGTCCATATATTGACTTGCTTTTAGTCTGAGGGAGACCGCAACCGTGTCCAACTCCATTTGTAGTACCAGTTTTATTTCTTTTCCTTTCCGGTATTGAATACACATATCCTATTCTGTTTCTGTGTATTAGATCTAAACTAAAACCAACTAAACTCCGTGGCTTGAGTCTGAA